AGAATTATGAAATATACGTTCAACTTTACTTTTTATAATTGAAATTTAATTAAAACGGCATCCGTACGTAAAAAATCCGTGAGAAATTATCAAGCATAAATACCTACCAAACAAAACCTTTCCGGCTGTTTTGCATACGCGCCTTTGTGACAAGAACAAAAGTATGTCAATGTGACGAATATTTTTTGCAGGTTCCTTTTGTTCACCTCCTGTAACATTTGCATACGGCAATAGTTTCTACTACTCCTCAAAATGAAACAGACGGTTTAATTATGCACTCCAGTAAATGAAACTGGATCAAATTTTTGTCTCGTCGTCGGTAGCGCGGGAAAGGTGGGTCAACAATTAACCGGTATGTAATTTTAGTTTGATTTTAAAACGTCACAAATCATAAATGCGAACGAGACGAAAATTGTGTAATAAATATGTAAGTAGCCGAGCCGCTTTCACTTAACGTATAAAAAAGTAACATCTGCTTAAACGTTTATTGATAAAAAAGTGCTTTCATAACTCAGCCGCAAGTATCATCCCACACATCGCTTTGCTTTTTTTTTGTATAGCTCGTCTACGAATAAACTAATGGAACTAACCGTTAAACGGTTTCGCTTTTTTCGTTGACCATGCTGTAAAACGTTTATAATTTTTTTCCCGAAAACATGGTCACGAACTGATAGGTAGATACTTTATATGCACAAATGTATCTTTCGGTTTCGGTACTGCTTTCAATTTTTATGTTTATAAGAACGGAATGTATTATATAATTTTAATTTCCCATGATAACTGTTACTTTTACAACAAGTGTCTATTTTGGTTAGATACAGATACGTTCAGAAGGGTTGCATACAAAGCACGCGTAAATTTAGGCTTTGATATTACGCGCCCTTTGCCTTAAGGAGGATAGATAAAAGCAATAAAAGTTTGCATTGCTGTACGTAATCGGGCACATGCAACAAATAATGTGCACTGCAGCCACCACCTTTTTTTGTCGCCCTTTGCAAAGAAAGCGCTTTTCTGCAACGCAAGGAGAAATTTCCAAAATGAGAAAGCCAGTCTCAACAGATATATCTATTTGGGATTCACTGTCTATCAGAGTTTCAAAGGTTTGATTACGGTGGGTAAGCTATACGAGAAGAGGTCCTCTAATTAACTTTTCTTGTACTGCTTTGCTTGGGCGATAATGGACATTGACATGAATACTTACTATTGGCATTCTCACATGTACTTTCCGTGTTACATTAGTTGTAGTTGCTGCTTGGAGTAGACCGATGCTTTGATGTTTTTTTTGTACATGCAATTTATCATTTTACGAGTTGTTTTAACTCAATTGATCGTAGTATGCAATGTTTTTTTGTACTAAGTTGATTGATCATGTTTTCCATTTGCATTTATGATGTCTTGTGTATTTTGTTTTTATGAATTTGTGTAACTGCATTTTATTCGATTACGTCATTCTTATCGTACAATTTACGAAGTTTTATTTGTGTATTTTTTCTTGCATTTCGTTGCTGTAGTTAATCTAATGCATGCATTTGTGTGGGCTGTACCAGGGTTTGTGTCCCGTAGAAGGTTTCCCTTATATTGTCTTGTTCTGTGCGTAATATAGTTACTTATTCTTGTCTTTTTTTACGCACAAAATTTTGCATTTTATTCAATTCCCCTCCCGACTATGTCTCATGTCCCAACACATAAAAAAATCAATTAGTAGGAGTTCATTGGTCCCATCCACATCGAACCGACTGCTACCGAGCTTCAAAAGTGCAGAGAAACGTTTGTTGTTTCGACTTGAAAGTTAGGTGGCTCTACGCGTAGTGTTTCCACAGAGTTGCCAACTGTAACTATAGAGTAAGTCAACATTTTCAGTGTCTGCTTGGGGGACCCCTAGGATCATTACATACATGAAAATTAAAACACCCATTTGAAATTATTTCACATACTTTCAGGTTAAACAATTTTTTGACACAGTTTCTTCAAATAAAATTTTTGCTCGATGAATTTTCCTTGGTGGGCGAAAGGGGTCCCGAGTCGCAGCGAGGACCCTAGACAGTCGCCTTCTCTGCCTAATGGTTAATCCGGCACTGACCAGCAGTTGTAGATACGCTTTCATGGCCGCTTCGATGTGGAGGGGGTTTGATTTCACCTCCTCTACTTGGACGTGATTAGGAACGCACGGATCGCCCACAGACTTCTGGGGATCCGACGTGGAAATTTTGCATTTTATTATCTCCTTTCTTGGAAAAGTGAAGGTGACTTGATGTAGGCGAGGGTTCGCTCTTTAATAGTGCACGGTTCGTCTTGCGATAACTATTGGCGTAGATTCGACACTGCATACAATCGCCGCCCGAGTCTTGCCTTCCCGCTATTTACACTCATTTTTATAAGTACCGCGTTTTATCTGTCGACCTGATAAGCGCTTTATCTCTTACAAAGACGAATCCGTTCAATGCCCACCTCGTGCTAGCATAGGTTTTTTGTCATTTAACATCGGCAACGAGTAGACGTATTGAACAAACTCTTCTTGCCTTTATTTTACTTACAATGACCCGCTTCATTTATTCCATCCTGAATATACACATGTAAAGCAGTATTTACTATCTTACTTTATTTAAATCTGAGGTAAAATTGCGTTTCTATCCGCGATTGTTGCTTTATATGGTTAATTCCCTTTTAGTTTCCATACGGTTAATAAAAATCAACTCTGATTATGAATAAATGAAATAATTAATTTCTTTACATTCAGCCCCTGTGATGTATCAGAAACGTCAAACTTAACGTGCAGGTTATCTGCCAAAAAAACATTATTTTGCATTATTTAGTATAGGCAAAATCGTCGACATATAACACGTGCCAATGATAAGCGCGAATACTGCAGGTGAGAGAGAAGGGAAAACAAAGAGGACAAGCTGTCTCTTACGGTTACGGATCTGATTGGTTCCTCCAATTTAATTTGAATGCGATCGCGATCGCTTTTGTTGAAAGAACCAATCAGACGAGTAACCGTAAAAGACAGTTTGCCTTCTTAGTTTCTCCTTCTCTCTCACAGTATCCGCGCTTATCATTGGCACGTGTTATATGTCGATGATTTTGCCTATACTAAATGCATTTTATTCGATTACGTCATTCTTATTGTAAAAGTTGTGACGTTTTGTGTATTTTTTATTGCATTTTCTTGCTGTAGTTGATTTAATTCTTGCATTTGTGTGGGCTATACCGGGGTTTTTGTCCCGTAGAAGGTTTCCCTGGTATTGCCTTGTTCTGTGCGTAATATATTTAGTTATTCCTGTCTTTTAGTAACAAAGTTATCGTTGTGTATCTTATTATGCATTTTTATTAAAATGTACAACTTTTTGTGCACATGGAAGTAGCTGTATGGGGAGGTGGGGGTCCACTTTCACAAGTGTTCTAAACAAAATTGATAATTCTAAATGGAGGAGAGTTTACACTTACACGTGCTATAAGGGTTGTTTTTTGAACTTATAAATAAAATGACAACCGTGGCAGTAAATGATGTTAAATTTGGGAAGGGGATACACCTTCATATGCATTTATATCGTATACCAATGATATTATAAACAAAACTAAGCAAGGAATCAAAAATGTTTGATGCACCAAAAAGGTGCGCTACATTATTTTCAGACAAGAGGTTTCCTAAAGACAAAAACAAGAAATAATTATACTGGCTTGTTTTGTTGTAAATCCAACTGCATTGCTTAATGATATTCAAAGAGACTTAATTTTTTTTTCAATTTTGTTACAAGCAGTAACTAAAACATGGAATATCTTGGAAACCGTTTGACGCAGCCTTTGACATTTTGTATCAAATTAAAATTCTCGGAAAAAGGAAAAGAGTGCTTTGAAAAAGTGACGTAAGCTCACTTTTTGAGACGGTTTCGTATACCATAAGAAAATTCGATCTTTCCTTAATAAAGCATTGAAAACTGTTTTGAAATATCTCTTACCGTTTTCGAATAATAAATTTGTTAATTTACCCTTGCAAATTAAATTTTTTACATAAAAACTTGAATATCGACGAAGCCCTTGGAGCAAAGGGTCAACTATGGGGTATCGTTATACTTCAAATTCGACGTAGAATCCGGAAATGTAGAAAAAATGCATCATGTGCCAAAACCATTAAGGGACTTATCAGTTTAGTTTCATTTTCAAAGGTTCTCCATATCTTTCTAACTGACGCCCGTCAAGAATGACCCTGTATATCATAAAGGCTTAACGAGCAACTTTTTTCCAATTCCTTGCATGGACTTCAGTCGTTCTACCACTGAGAGAAGATCAGTTTAAAACAAAAAAAAAACTTAATCCCAGTTGTCCCCCATATACGGTCATAATTTTGTACAGGAGTTGTCTTTTTCACTTATTTTATATTTTTCACTTCTAAACTATGTTGATTATTTATTATTGACCATACCTTACAACATGTGTATGATCCCAAAGATGTCAATATTTCATGTATTATTGGTGCAGTATTCTGAAACTGGTCACGTTTGCTAATTAGAATTTCCCTTTGTATAAAAGCTGGTACTGGTTCGAAATTTCCACCTTATTCACTTAAAGTTCTCAATTAATTAAAATTCTAATTGCTCATGAGTAATTTCACCGATTAGTGAAAAATTCAGTTTTTACAGTTCAGGTTTAAAATCCACAGATGAAAATCTTGCGTAATAAATTTAGATTAGTTAAGATTTCCAATACGAATTCCTTGTAAAATTGAAACACAATGACAGTTCCGATTGTCTCATAAAAGAAGGGCAAGCGGATGTGGCCAAGTTTTGGACCGTCTCACAATTGCACGTCGATATCATTTGAATCGCAAGGGTGCCAGTAACCCTTAAATTGTACGTCAGCCAGCGAAAACAGAAAGGGTTAACATTTAATTTATCCAGTCCACCTATGAATGTGAATTAAGAACGGGTCGGTTGAGAGGCAGGGACCTCAGATGTGCCCAGTTGTACAACTCTATGTTTGGACAGCAAGGCAGTTCAACAAAGGCCAAACCGAGACCAACTTTACAATATTTGAATCCGGATGCTGCCGTTACCGTCGCCCGCCGCTGCTGGACCGTTATAATTAATGAATCGTTAAACTAGTTACGCGTTTAAAAGCTTCATTAATAAAACTTGTTACTTTCCATGGAGTGCGCGTATATCATTCGCGTTTGTACAATTAATTCAAAACTTTATAATCTGCCGCCCGTTTGGAGTGTTGTGCGAAATTAGTTTTCATTAGGAATGGTGTTTTGTTTTGTGTGTAAATAGGTAATGTTACACTACTCTATCCGCATTACCTACTCTATGCATTCGGGCCCCTCGTTTCCTTAATTATGAATGTGGAGTCCGGACTATTCACGTTTCTAAATATTTTACTCGAGATTTCCGTAATCAGATTATTCTCGAATTAAATGAAAATAAGTGACACGGCTTTAATCTGATATACCCGAGCTTGATGTTCGCTTTGGAGAACATTTTGACTACAAATGACCTCCTTTAGGGTTTTATATGGACAACGAAAATGTTTATGGTAATTATGAGATTATCGATTGACGTAATGTCGTTATTTAGCGCGAACAATAATAATCGGAATAGATTATTCAGAATATAACAGTTTTACACGAAACTTTCAAGATTATGGATTTCAGTTTTTGCCACAATTTACGCTAATGAATTCAATTGCGCGAGATGATCCGATTTCCTTTACAAAATTGTACTCCGCGTCCAATTTCCTTCAGTTGAATATTTGAAATTGATTTTTCAGCTGTCTTTGTTGAAAATTTAATATTTCTTCAAGATTTCCATCTGGAGCACAACCAATTCATGTAGTTCAAACATTTATTTTCGAATTCATTCATTCATTCATTTTGGTGAGGAAACTAGATGTAGCAGGAATCACTTTGGTTGGAAGCTTTCAAGTTGTATTATACTCTTTGAAATGTGAGAGATACATCAGGTCTCCGTTTGTGAAATTCAAAATTTGTGCACCAATGATAATATTTAGGTCAGTTATTTTAAATGTCTTGAAACCGTAAACCTGACAAGACACATTTGTACCTGATGGTTGGCTCTAAATACACACAGCTGATTTCAGGCAGCCCAAAACTCTCTTTGGATGAGTTTGGAGTTTTTTTCACAAGTTTCAACGCAATGAGAAAGTACCATAGAAATTTAGTTAACCCCAAATGTTTACAGTGCATCCACTGCGTCCATTTTATGCATACTTGCAGCGGAATTGCCATGAGATTGAATTTGGGCTCTTTTATTGTGCAAAATATAGTCCCCAGCTAAGGAAAGGTGCAGTAAGTAACAAAATGGAGATTTCAAAAAAGTATCTTTTACTATTTTTCAAATGTTTGTGTAGGTACGTGTTTAACTATAAGACATTTTATAAAATTTTGACAGGATATGTTGCATGGAAATAAATTTTTTCAGTCAAAAGAGAACATACGGCACTTTTTTTAGTATCGCTGTTTGGGCAGTCGGACGCTGTAACCAATTTTTCTTATTTTCTCCCCTTCAGAAGTACAAAAATGCAGTGCACTTAGGTAGGCGATGTATGCGTTAATAAATGCTTATTAAAACAACATTTGTAATAATAAAATAATACTATTTCAAGTTCAGATACTAAGCACGAAATAAACAAAATGTAGGTTAGTACACAAATTTAATTGAAAAAGCTACTTACGGAATGCCTGCACAATTAACGAAGGCCTATTTTCATCTCTTTGGAGAATTGGCAGGTGTTTCTAAATTTCTTGGGATTTTGAGGGTTAACTTCAAGTAAGGTTACCAATATTTTATCCATCTACTCTTCGGGAATCTCAAATAGCAATTTAGGACTATGGAGTCTTTATTCCTTTCATAGGTTTTACTGCAAAATGACGTGCACTAGGTATGGGCACATCATATTATAGTTTTACGGTATAAAACATACCTACTCCCTTCTTGATGCTTTAACACGAACAGTATTCGGCACTATATTGCTAACTTTCTTAGTTGTAGACTTATATAAATATAACGATGGTTAAATTACCAAAATCCCTAATTAAGAAAACCAAACAACATTGCATTTTTCAGATAATATCAAAAATGTGACTTTTATATGGACCGCCCTCTATAATTCGTGAGGTAAATACCGGAGTAGTATAGAACAACTTAAGACCTTCCGCAGGGGCACCCCTAAAAAAGCATTATGCGGTCACTCTGTAATTGGGCGTAAGCCTCTTGACAGCTTAGTAACTTCTCTACAAAAGTTCTTCACACGCCACAAGCAAAATACGTCAAATAACCTAGATTTTTCAATAACGTCCATTTCGTTATACACGAAAATTAATAAAATGTCGAAATTTGTTGTTAAGTCCCTGGCAGCAAGCTTTGTAAGTAGTTTATTTCTTAGAAAATACCATAAATTGTAGAAAGTTACATTTTTTGACAAAAAAAGTTCTGCTGCGCCATTACAATGTTACCCTCAAAGATATACTGACCACTAGTCATCCCCTCGAAGATATTTTACTTTATTTTTAAGTGGGCGAGGGTTCAGGCAAGGGTGCTGTACCAACCCGACCCACTATACGTATTCAAATATCCATACCCGAACCAGGATTTGAACCTGGTACCGTTAGTGCCGCAGTCTCTCTTCCACGTCACTACGCCATAGTACAGTATCGTAAATGTAGGAGCTACTTTTATGCCAATCCTAATTCTATTAGAGATTGAGTTAGAGACAGTGAAGTATCGTTAGCCACAACTTGGAGGATGTGAATAAAAACATGATTTCCTGCACGTTTTGAGAGTCAGTGGTTTATTTACTCATGTTCCGAAAACCCTCCTTTGTTATGTTTTTTTTTGGAACGGTGAATGCAACTTTTCCAGTAGTGGTATGTTCAACAGGAAAAATTATGCACTATTGGCGAGACTATTGGTCTCGTGAAAACCCACTTCTTACGCATCCAACCTAATTTTATGGGGGTACACTTAATGGGGAAAGACACCTTGGTTTAATAACAGACTTATTAGGGAACTATTTCGATGATATTGTTGGAAAAGTCGAACGGTGATGTATTCTCAACAAAACGGGGCGCCACCACACAACTTTCGCGGAATTGCACCATTTATTTGGAGATCGGGGAACCAGGTACTAATGGATTGCACAACTCTGGATTTGTTGGGGCTTTATAAACGTCATTATTAACGTCATGGATTTAGAAAACGATATTGGCCGAATGATTAATTTAATTCGCCCCGAAAATGGAGTCGTTCTTGATCTTCTTTGAGATAGGTATCTATTGTAGCTTATATGTTCTTGTATATTGCTTATTTCACTTGTTATTCTTCATTGTTATAAACCTACTATAATAAGTCGGATGTCGAGTTATCGTTTTAAATGCTATTATGTATTATGTTATTTTCATGGATAACTAGATCGAAATGAAAATAATTGAAAAATCTTGGTTATGGTGAATTAAGATCTTCTGTAGAGAATTAATAAATTGTCACATGATAAAATAATATACAGGGCGTTCCATATAAAGAAGTCGAAAAGCAGAAAAACTTGTAGGCAGAATCGCGCATGCGGAAGTGTGCCAAACCTCTCATTGTGGACTAAATGACTGAACCGATTGAAAAAAAATTTGGTACACATATTCTTAGACATAAAAGGGCACAAATTCCTTAAGAAATCACCGTGCATTTTTGCTAAATTCATCAGCTCGTAAGTAGCTCCCCTTCTGTAATGTGAGATTGTCGGAAGAATAATACTTGGTAATTTTTTGTTGGGGGGCTTTATTTTCAGAAAGCTTCCCCTTTCTATAAGAGGCAGGTGGTCTTACATCGTCTAGATAGGCGATAGTGTGTAATTAACAAATCTCATTATTGGATAAGTAGTCTAATATGGAAGATTTTTTACATACACTATAGTTCATGTTGGGGCAATACCTACTGAAGAGTTTTCTTTTTTCTGTTCCTCAGTTCTCTTCGTTTTAACATCTAATTTTTGGCAGCTAGTAAATATAGTTCAGACCATGACATGTACCAAAATTGCAATCGGGAAAAATAATCCAAAAAATTAACTTTAAGATATACAGGGTGTTACATTTAAAAATACTAACTTTGGGCCAATTCTCAGCAACGATGGTCCAAATTTTTTGGAACACGCCACTGGGTAAAAATATCTCAAATAGATAGTTTTAAAGCTTTTTTCTATCTTACATGGGTAATAAGATGACATCCCAAAAAAATGAAACTTTTTGTTTTCACCCTGTACCTCAAAAACAAACGTAGCTAGAGCGATTTTGTATGTGGTATTAAAAGTTTCACAAAAAATGGCACAGGGTCGCGAAAACCTAGTATCCTTAAAACAGCTGAGATACACTGCAGTCTCACCAATATAGGGGGTACGGTATATACATAAACATCTGATACAATGTTAAAAAGTTCCAAGGGGCTTATTTTCAATGGCAAGTACTCGTAAGTGCAATTTTTTGTTAAGTAAATAAAATAATTTTGTTTTTAACAAATTGAAATAGAATCTTAATACATAAAAGTCGTGTATGTTACACCACTTATAACTGTCAAGAACGGCTGGACAGATTTTTATGATAGTTGATGGTGTGTTGGATTCGTCTTTGTTTCGAATAGCAGAATAACTATTAAAATATCGAAAAAACCACGAAAAAAGTATAAGAAAACTTACTACAAAAGTAAATAATAATAATAAATAATGACAACAACCGGTCAATAACATGCTTTCAGTCTTATCAAACTATCAGATTAAAAAGTGATAGGTATAGTTTACTCGCGATTTCAGGTGCGTTCGATTTTCCGTTTCAGAAGTATAGCAGAGTATAGAGTGGAAAAGATCACGTGATCACTGGAGAATGAATAACTTTAATATCTGCGTTTGGATGTAATCCTGCATGAGGGTGCAAATTTGTAATTTTTGGACAGTGATTCAAATACTAAATCATTGGAATGTGTATAAATATTCAGTCCAGACGTAAATTATCAACAAGTCGCATACCGAAACAGTCAATTAGAGAAGAAGGCTAATGTTTATTAACACTTCTTTGTTTCTTTTCATGAGTACTATACGCAGACAAAATATCCGACCTTTTTTTTGATATACCCTGTATACGAGGTTCTCCAGGCTAGACGATACAAGGTTCGTCGGATCTGCTATTATTTATATAATTGTCTGTCTCTTATGCTTGTCTAAACTGTTCACCCAATAGCGTTGAATGGTTGGAGCTGAGGTTGGACGTATTCCTTCAGAAGTCTCTAAGTTAGTAAAACACTTTCCGAAATTCCCATGGGAACGGGAACAGGAAAAACTAGGATTTGATGTTTATAGGTTTTTTAATGATGCTATTTAAGTTTTTTTAGTTGGGGTATGTGGCTTAGGGGTTTTTGTTTTAGAAGCGGATTTTGATTCTGTTCATTCTTTCACTTGAGAATCATGGCTAACGATTATATTACTTAAAACGCCATTTTTTGGGTTGATTAGGAGCCTTTGCTATTGTTGGTACAGAA